TTTTTATTCCTTCCTGGTCTTCAATTACATTATTTTTATTGTCATAGAGTATCCTGGTCTTTGGTTTCCCAGATCTTGTGAAATAGATCTCTTGTTCTCACCTTTTTGTTGTTGTCTTCTATTTCTCTGCATTGGTCATTGCAGTAATTTTCTTTATCTTTCCATACAAGCCATTGTACTTTTGCATTCATAATTCTTAGTTTGTTCCTATCTCCCTTTCATTTTTCTTCTCTTCTTTATTGCTTGTAGTGTTTTTTCTGTCATCCATGGGGTTTTTTTCTATCTTTTTGATTATTGCAGGTGTCTTTCTGCATTCTTTTATTATGTCCCTGGCTTCAGACCATAGTTCCCCTGGTTCTTGCTCTATTATGCTTAGTAATGCGAATCTATTTCTTACGTTTTCAGTAAATTCTGTTGAGATATTATTTAGATCATATTTTGTTAGTACCAGAGTTAGTACCAAGTTTGATTATGATGCTTATGATGCTTGGGTTAGTACCAGGGTTGATTATGATGCATATGATGCTTTAATGTAACCTGTTTCTAACATCTTTGAGTTGTAAGTCTTTTCAAAACCATAAAATCCATCCTCTCAGGTAGCATTTGCAATATTGTTTTCGTCCATTGTTTTATGCAACAAATGTGGAATTATGTAAGTGTGGACACAATGAAGCAAAATGCAGTGCCTGGGCTAAAAACAATGTGCACATAGTTGTGGGTAAAAAGATGTTGAAGTGGCTACATTATTGCTTTCTCCTGAGAGTTGAATTTGCAACCATGTGCAAAAACATAGTGGTATACAAGATTTGTTTGATGCTAATATAATCCCCATCCCCCTCTGGTCCTACTGAGCAGAATTAAAACACTATATGCCAGCTGCTCATTTAGACTGCTATTGATCTATGTAGTATATTTTCAAATGTATGTGTGTTTGCCTTCAAGGTGCCCATCAACTTATGGTGACCCCATAGGCTTTTTTTTATAGCCACACAAAAATATCTCCTAATTTCTTTTAAAGAAAATGCTCCATAGTTGTTAATATATTGGGTTGATTTCACAAGTACTTGCCTCAGGATACATTTTGAATGTTAATTTCAACTCCTCTTGAATCATCAGCCAAACTGACATGTAACTTGCCAAATGGTCATTTTGTTGAAAATATAACTTGCTATTTCATTCAATAATTGTGCAGTTCAGCAATTTTTAGCCTTGTACTATAAACACATGAAGAATGCCTTTAGAATCACTAGAAATCACATTCTTAAAATCAGATAATCTGTAAAACAAGTGTTAGATACTGGTGAGATCATAAAATTTATGATTAACTGAAATTTCAATCAACCTGATTATATCATAATATTTTGGCAAATTCTATATCTTATTATCACCTCTTATGACCTCTCATTGTGCATGCCTCATATAGGTCTAAGCATCCCACTAAGAGAATTATAATATTAAAATGATAGTAAAGGTAAAGGTAAAGGTAAAGGTAAAGGTAAAGGTAAAGGTAAAGGTAAAGGTATTCACCATTGACAAGGTTGTCAAGTCGTGTCTGACCATAGGGGGTGGTGCTCATCTCCATTACTAAGCCAAAGGGCCAGTGTTGTCAGAGACTACTCTGTGATCATGTGGCCAGCATGATCGCACCGAATGCTGTTTATCTTCCCACTGAAGTGGTACCTATTTATCTACTTTCATTTGCATGCTTTCGAACAGCTAGGTTGGCAGAAGCTGGGACTAGTGACAGGAGCTCACCCCATTATTCAGCACCCTTGAACTACCAATCTGCTGATCTTGCAGTCAACAGAGTCATTAACCACTTGAGCCACTGCATTCCATTAAAAATGATACTATATGAAATAAAATATTCCATTTTTCTTAGTGTTCTACAAACTTTAGATTGAATATGAAGTGAGAAAAGTGGTATTCTGCCTGGAAATGTGGCGGGGGGGGACCCAGGTTTTTTTCATTTCTTTCAAAACAGTGAAAGCAACAGTAGGGGGGAAGGGTTTTACTTAAAATGGATCAACCTTTATTCTGTTGAAGTAAAAAAAAAACCAGTTGGGTTAAAGTTAAACTCGTTGCAGCTGCCTAATGTGAAATTGAGTAATAATGTTTACCAAGCTTTGATTGTTCTGAGTAATTGTAGCAGTTTCTCTTTCAGAAAAATGGCCAAAGAGTGGTAGTCTTTTCTGAGCCCATCAGGAAGAGGCAAAGGTTCCATGTTCAATACAAACAAACATGATTGATTCAGATTGTCCTTCTTTGATGTTTGTGTTGGAATTGCCTCTGAAAGAATTCAGATATCACAGGCCACACGCCTTGTCAGCGAGAATCTCCTTGACAACTTCAAATAATCCTGCATTAGCATAAGTATTTTAAAATACATTTCCTATTAATGGCTGGCCTTGTCAAACTACATTTGCATCCTAATATTCTTCTCTTGCCTTTAAAACTACAGTTATGATGGGAAATGCTACACTAAGTGTATCTGTTCGGAGACGCATCTGCCTCTTTGGCAAACTCCATAGTGTTGGTGGCACAAGGATTGTTGCTAGATTGTTTTGTCACAGGATGAGACCACAGATGGATTTTTCTGGCTGACACAGGATCTGCCATCTCTCTGTTTATTTTGTTTATGTTTGTGGGTGAAGAAATTGTATCTGAACATATGGGGATAAAGTTGAATGGATGCATAAGAGCTTTGCTGGTGTGTTTGTACGTATCATTTCATCAGTAATGATAGTTAATATTCTGTAACTGACAGGCCAGATATTTTAAAATAATAGGGTTCCCAGGCTTTGCTTGAATTAATAATTTTCTTCAATGTTAAAAAAAGAGAAGAAACCCTACATTTCTTTTTGTTTTGTTTTGACAATGGAAAATGCAACTCAGTAACATTTAAGAGAGCTGGCATGGTGTAGTGGTTTGAGCACTGCAGCACTACAACTTTTCTGAGCCCATCAGTGTTCAAATCCCTGTTCAGCCATGGAAACCAATGCAGTGGCCTTAGGACCAATGCAGACGACCCATAAGGGGCAGCTCTGTGCTGCCCCTGGGAGCATCGGATCGGGACCATGGCAACCACACACCGTGGCCCCAATCCTCCTTTTTGCCACCCCCAAAAGAGTGGGCAGATGCCGCTCCTTTTTAGGATGGGAAAAAGCCACCCTTTGAGCCATGGTGGCGGCTCTTTTGTGCCCCTTTGGTGTGCAGCGTGTGTGCACACTGAGCCAAGAGAGCGCCCTGACACCATGTGCTGTGCAGTCGAGCATGCGGCGTCAGGTCAGGGTGGAGTAGGGACAGCCAGCGTGCAGTCACCCTGCCCCAGCTCCACCCCCAGGTTGGCCTAAAGTGCCAGTCTGAATCCCCCCTTAGGTAAATCACATTCTCTCAGCTTCAACAATGGAAAATCCCCTCTAAGCAAATCTTGCCAAGAAAACCCCATGATAGGTTTGCTCTAGGGTCTCTGTAAGTCACAAATTACTTGAAGGCACACAATAACTGAAGGGCCATATACTTCTATAGAGTCTTCCCACTTAGTAGGATTTTCATTGGAAACTCTTCTCTGGGGTTTCATCACCTTCAGAAATGAGATGAATAATGATCAGAGGCAGGCCCTTTTCCCTCCTAGTGCCATGGCTGTGGAGTACTGAGCCCCAGGTTTCTCAGACAGCATTGACTCTTTTGGCAGGTGAAGACATTTTATTTTTTTCCCTCTTGTTGATAACTTTTTCTCTTAAGTGTTCTTTTTTTATAACTTACTTTAATTTTATCTGTATTTTTATTGTTTATGCCTTTTTATTATCTGTAGCTGTTTCAGGTTGTTTTATTTCTTTTCTTGTTAGGCATCTTAGAATAATTTCATATAAAACATTACAGTATGCCACAATATGAAGATGAAACCCAAATTCTAAAAACTGAGGTGGAAGCTGCAATAAAGGAAATGGCAAGAAAGAGGACTCAGGAACAGATGATATTCCAATATAACTGTTGTAATCCACATTGACAGAGTCAACTCTAGTGCTAACCAACATATGTCAACAGATATGGAAAATAAAAAGATGGCCAACAGATTGAAAGCTATCAATATACATCCCCATCTACAAAAAAGGAGACACAAGAGACTGTAGCAACTATAGAACCATAGCACTAATTCCCATTCAAGCAAAATTATGCTCAAAATTCTGCAACATAGGCTCCAACATAGGCTATCTCAGAAGTCCAAACTCAGTTCAAGAAAGGAAGAGGCACCAGAAAATATATGCAAATTGCAAATATATGATGGCTAATGGAGCATAACAGAGAGTTGCAAAAGAAAATCAGCATGTGCTTTATAGACTACAGCAAAGCCTTTGACTACATAGATCATGAAAGGCTGTGGAAAGTCCTTAAAGACATGGGAGTGCCAACACATCTGATAGTTCTCATGAGGAATCTGTGCTCAGGACAAGAGGCTTCTTTCAAAACAGAACACAGAGAAACAAAATGATTCCCAGTTGGCAAAGGGATCAGACAAGGCTGCATCCTATCACACTACCTTTTCAACTTATATGCAGAACAAGGCTGCATCATATTACTATTCTGCTTATATGCAGAAAATATTGTAAGAAAGCAGGACACAGAAGTGGGAGGACTGAAAATGGGTGGAAAGAATTATCAAAAATCTGAGACAACTGACAACTCCATAATACTAGCAGAAATCCGCACAGACCTCAAACAACTACTGAGGAAGATAGTGCAAAGGCAGGCTTACTGTTGAATATAAAGAAACAAAAATAATGATCAAAGAGAACTTACATAAATTCAAACTAGACAATGAAGAAATAGAAATAGTAAAAGAATTCTCATACCTGGGATCAAACACTGATAGGAACGGGACTGCATCCAGGTAATCAGAAGAAGAAGAAGAATGGGGAGGGCAGCTATGAAAGAACTAGAAAAGATTCTAAAATGCAAAGATATACAACTCAAAACAAAAGTTAGAATCATACAAGCCATCATATTCCCTGTTACAGTTAAGGGAATATTGTTATAGTTAAGTTAAGAAAGACAATAGGAAGAAAATCAATTCATTTGAGATAATGTGGTGCTGGAGAAGAGTGTTGAGGATCCCATGGACAGCCAAAAGGACAGACAAATGGGTCCTAGAGCAAATCTAGCCGGAAACCTCCCTGGAAGCATAGATGACCAAAGTACGAGGCTGTCGTACTTTGGACACATCATGAGAAGAGAGAACTTACTGGAAAAGACAATAATTCTGGGAAAGGTAGAGGGGAAAGCCATATGCCAGATGGATGGACTTTATTAAGGTGACCATGAATATGAGTTTGCAGGAGCTGGACAGATAAGTAGAGGACGGGGGGGGGGGGGCTGGAGGGTCGCCATGGATTGAAATTGACGCAAAGGCAGTTAACAGCAAGAACATGCCACAATTTAAGACAGCCAGCATGGTGCAGTGGTTTGGAGCACTGGACTATGACTCTGGAGGCTAGGTCACAAATCCTCGTCAGCCATGGAAACCCAGTGGGTGACCTTGGGCAAGTCTCACTATTTCAGCCTCAAAGAAAGGCAACAACAAGCACGCTCAAAACAAATCTTTCCAAGAAAATCCTATCATAGGTTCCTGATGCAAAGAACCCACTCACTTATCCTTTCAGACCAGCAAATAAAATTAAGTATTAGGGAATAGCCTATTGTGATATCCAGACTTCTGGTTTGTTCTAGATCTGATTTGGTTGACAGATAAGTCAGGGTTCATAAACCAGCAAGAACTCCTGGCAAGTTTCGTGTTATGTGAGAATGTAGCCATAGAAATCATCATTTTTATCCCAGATACAGCTCTCTTAATTGCTGTTTGTTCCTTAATAATGAGCCAATAGTAATAACTCTATGTCACACTCTCTCAGCCTCAGATGATGGCAATGGCAAACCCCCTTTGAAGAAATTTGCCAAGAAAACCCAGCAATAAGTTTGCCCTAGGGTCACTATAATTTGGAAATTACTTGAAGGCACACAACAGCAACATAACTAGCTATACAATAGCAATAGCACTTTACATTACTATACTGCTTCATAGTGAAACACTCTCTAAGGGCAGTTGCAGACTGCCAGAAATAGTGCAAATTGAGTCCACTTTAAGGGTTAGGGATAGTGCTAGGCAATCATGGGAATTGTTTGTTTTTTTCTGAGACATTGAGCCTTCTCTGTCAGAGAGCTCTGGTGCCACAATAAAATACTGATTTTAAATACTCCTGATTCCCCAACCCTAACCCTAACCCTAAAAGTGGACTCAATTTGCACTATTTCTGGGAGTCTGCAGCCCCCCTAAAGTCAGGGGTAGGCAACCTTTCCCCTTTAAGGGCCGAGGGACTTCAGCTCCCAGAATTCCAGGAGCCATTGGCCAACATGGGACTATTGGCCAACATGGCTGAGGCTTCTGGGAGCTGAACTCCCTCGGCCCTTAAAGGGGAAAGGTTGCCTACCCCTGCGTCTAAGTCGGGGTAGGCAACCTTTTTGAGCCGGGGGCTGGGCTGCTGTCCCTCAGACAATTGGGAGACTGAAGCACCATAAATAAATAAATTAATTAATTAAAATTTTTAAAAAAAATTAAAATTTAAAAAATATGCATGCACACTCTTTCAGCCCCAGAAAAGCCATGGCAAACCCCCTGTGGAGATTTTGCCAAGAAAAACCCAAGAACAAGTAATAACAACAATCAGTATCATCATGGCGGTGGGCAGTGTGGGGCAGCGGCAACAGCAGCGGCAGGACTGGCCTGTGGCTGGTCCAAAGGCCTCGGGGGGGCGCATCCGGCCCCCGGGCCTTAGGTTGCCTACTCCTGGTCTAAGTGGTTTCTAATGTGCTAACCAGTTGCCCCAAACAAGATGGATACTCATTTTACCTTAGACACAGAGAGGCCATGTCATACTTCCTCTTGGTTGATGGCCAATGCACATTAAAAGCCTCCTAAATGAAGAACACTTTAAATTGCTTTGTTTCATATTGGGATTGTAGACCAGAAAATTTTGTGCCGTCATCATCACCACTACTACCATTTCATTTATATCCTTGTTTTCTGCCAATATTGGAACTCAAGAAAATCTACAAATAAATCAGTGCAGATTAAAACATACACACCAAAAGGTGGGGTAGGCGTGGATGTACACACATGTGCACTACTTTAAAAAAATTGAACAATCTATAGAGTTTAAAACAATTTAAAATTCATTAAAAGAATAATATTTAAAAAATAGTAAAATACCACACCATTAAAATCCCATTGCAGTCAATTCCTAACAAGGAATGGTTTTACTTGCTGGTGGAAGGAGAGCAAGGGAGGAGTTTGCAAGCAGCCACTGAGAAGGCCCTGTTCCTTCTTCCCACCAAAATGCCAGCAAATGTTGTAAGTCAGAGAGAAGGACCTCTTCTCTTAAGATCTTCTCTTCAAGATATTAAGATCTTGAGCAGGCTCATATAGGGAGATAAGATACTTTACTGGTCATTGACCAAAAACAAATTCATGTATGTAGCCAAGACACAAGTAGTGTAAGGCTTTATAGGGCATAACCAGCACTTTGAATGTGCCCAGAAATGGACCAGCAACCATGGAGCTGTTGCAACAAGGGAGTTGCATGAATCAGGTCCAGTCAATAATCTGTCTTAAGTTATTTGGACCAACTGAAGTTTCTGATCCCTCCTCCAACACAGCCCCACTTGGGGGCTGTATGTACGAGCCAAAAGGCCTGTGTCACCACAGCCTGGCATTGTCTTGTCTGGACAATGAAGGCCATTAGTCCCAGGTTGGGATTGGGCCCTTAATCTGGTCTAAAAAGACTAGCTGTCTATCCAGTCTAAAAAGATTGTGCTGCAACAGCCAGCAGATCACAAGGCCTCATCATCCCTTACCTGTTGGCACTGTTGCATCCTCTCTGAAGGCCTCCACCATAGCTTGTGATGTTGGAACGGGATGCCTGGTCAAGTGAGTG